TGGACACAACAATTTCTACCCTGGTAGCCATTTTGAATTGCAAGACATTTTCAGAATCTATTCAGAATCATTATTCAAAATGTGAACTTACAATGCAAATTTTTAAAACGTAAAATGATAAAAAAAAAAATTTCAAACATGTCAAAAACAGGGGTGAGGGGTTACCAATATTTGATTGATAGTTAAGCATAGAGAGAGCAAGCGAGAGATAGATTATAATTAACATGTAAAGTGAAAGAGAATACAGCACTTTGAACAGATTTACGCATTCATTCATAATACTACTTCACATGTACATGTACCTGACTATTAAATTTATTTTCATTCCTCAAACTACGTTACACGTCTGGGGATAGAGATGCCAATTCTATTTTATCGGGTGTCAATTACTCATTTGTAGCATCTGACAAGATCTCACTTTTTTTTACCATGACAAGTAACTACTAATGACGAGGCACGTTAAGTCATCATCTCAGTGTGACCAACTATCAAATGTTTAAGAGGCGCTTGGGCCGCACTGTACTTAGATTCATAAATTTGGCCTGGCACATTAAAAACCCAGATTTTGTTTTCAATTTCTATGCCCTTGTGATGAAATATTTGAAAATCTACAACCAAACATTCATTCCTGTTGCAGTGTATGCATCATAGTACAGCCTGTACACAGATTGCAGACAATACACAGCAATATACAGACAGCTTTTATTTTAAAGTTGGTAATTAATTTGTTTTCAATTGGTTGTTATTAATTTACATTTAATTGAAAATGAATCTTTTTAATGAACCTTTCTGAAAGTCAATGATGTCTGTAGAATGCTGACCATGTAATCTAAAATGAGAATTGAGACTGGATGACCATGCCAGGCCCATCAAATTACCCAGAATACATTGCGGCCAGGTGATATGGGATTAGGCCAAGATGCATGGTATATGTATAATAAGCATAGGCACCACAAAGGCTGCGAATAATCAGGCCGGGAAATTAATCAGTCTTCCGAATGCTCACGAAAGTAATCCACATTGTGACAATAAACTAAACGATTTTCAATGCAAGATGCGCAACATTGTGCATCTGTACTGTATAATGTGATTATTACCACTTGCATGAGAACTTCGTCTTACCACTGCGTTTCCAGTGAAAGAAACACCAAAACTAGATTAATTGTGACTTATTATATTTTTTGTTACAAGTCAATAGAAAAGCTGAGACGCAATCCTTCATATGCAAAAACAACAACTATGTTTTCATAGCCTAAAAAAACAATTATTTGTGACACCATCACCAGAAAACATTTATAGATGTACCAGCATTTTGTATGGACTGATTTAAAATTAGCTGCACCACTTCAAACTAGTTCTACAAACAATGCATGTGTATGCATAGTATTATAAATACAAGAAACAGTTCCACCACTTTACAAGAAAAAAAACATGCTCTTTCATATTCAACAATTAATTTGCAAAATCGAGAAAGCAATACCACAGAACTCTATTTTCATTTTAGATTATAGTGATATAAAATTGGAGAAATAAAATTTAATTGAAAATACTTTCTCTCTTTATACTTTATACTGTATCTCATTAGGAATTATGATATAAATATCATACAGGGTTCAAAATTAAAAAAAAAAAAAAACTTAGAAAATGGACCTGGTATTCCAACGACAATATTAAGTTTTGTTGGTTTGTGAAGCCATAGTTAAATGTCAATTGCACACGTCATGTGGAACAAACTTGATACAATGTATATCAATTTAGTAAACAAATTAATTTTTGTAAAATGCAAATTTCTAGTAGACCCGTTGCTATACTAATTTTTGGTTAATACTGTAGAATACTTTATTTTCGCTTGGAATTTATTTTCGCTATTTTCGCTGAAGGGATGATTTCGTGAAAATAAAATCCAGCAAATATACTTTTTTTCCTACATTTCACATTAAACTCATCAAAAATCAGTGAAAATAAATTCTATACAAAACGGCCAAAAAGCAAAAATTAATTCCAGCGAAAATAAAGTATTCCACAGTAGTAAGAATTTGACAAGAATTGGTTGTGTGTTGCCTTGGGTTACTTTTAATTTGGAGTCTCATTCTGCAAATTCAGGCTAAAATAAATTCATGTTCTGCAGCATTCAACAATAAAAATAAGTAGTTTAATATTGCTGCTATTTTGAAACTATGTTGGCTCCTCGATGTAATGATTTTGAAGCAATTCAATGAAACTAGGACAATACATTATAGGGAAGCCAAGACAACTAAGACTGGATAGAATGTAGTGCACTGACAGTTGAATATAATGGCATGCAAAAAATAGAAGATACAGCTGACTCCTTGGTAAGTACATATATTAATGTGACAGGAGCCAGGGAAAAACTGTAGAAGCATCAGACTCCCTGGTACGCATATAATGGTGCTTTGAACGCACGATCACCAAAACTACCCAAACTTATAAATAAAATCTACAGAAAAGTGAATACCGCTTCAGCTCTGAAGTAGAATTAAAACATTTTTAATAATTTGAAGGACCATACAATGTAGTGTTGTCAAGCAATCCAACGAGTTTGTTTAGTTTGCCAAAACACTAAATAAACACATAAATGTTTAGAATATAAAAACTGGCTTATACAAGGGTAGCATATACTGTGTGTAGTAAGTTTTATAATTAAATTTCTAAAACAATTTCCGATTTATTAAGAATTGAAAAAAAAATAACTACTAGAAAAGAAGTCGTAGTAAAATTGTCAATTATCATACTGAGGTCAAGTAGGAGAGAATCCGACTGAACTTAGAAATTTAATATCTAAAAACACAACTGGGGTCATAGAGTAACAAATTTAACTTAAGCCATCTTTCAACAATTTTGATTTCTCCAAAAATACAAGATCAGGACTTGCAGCCAATATGAAATTATATTCATATGGACAGAAATAATGGAAAAATAAACAACATGCAAAATGTTCCGCCAATATATTGGTGTGAAAAAATAGGTCGAGGATCAATCGAGGATTAGCCTTAATTTGCGTGATAATTTATAACTTGATTTATTTATTCCCTAAAAAAAGTTTTCAAAGAAGTAAGCAGACTCTTATTTTATTTTTTTTATTACAAGAATAATATATGGGAGGCGGGGATCAGACAACGCAGTTTACTGTCATGTTAAATGATAATAAAACTAAAATAAAGTGTCAATAACAGAGAATACCTCAGTAGGCAGCCACAAATTTATATTTATTATCATTTCATTGCCACTAGACTGGTCTATATGCATGGAGGAGTGAATATTAAACACCTACTCACTGACAGATGTTACCCTGGGATCTGCCATCAAAACGGAAATAACATGCGCCTACGTATATCGGCAATATGTATCGCCAGGGTGATATTGTAAATACTAACAGCTGTTTCTTGATCCTACCCACAAACCCTGGTACATGCAAAACAGTAATAAAAAACTACCGTAAAATCTGTATTAGAAGCCGCATCCCTAATAGAAGTTGCATCCATTCTATTTGAATAATTGAGAACCAAAAATTCATCATTTCTCATATGTGTAGATGCTCTAATAGAAGCCGCATCCCTTCTGTTGCATTGTACCATTTTAATAGATGCCGCGGCTTCTAATATAGATTTTACAGTAATAACGAGAATGTTTTTATTTCATTTAGATCTACTGTTTAAATAAATTCTCCTCTTCGTACAAACGACGAGAGAAGCTATCACGTTCTCAGTAGTACTTCATGTCACTCTGCTTCTATATTTAGATCTATTCTAAGAACGAAGACTGAAAGCAAATCTGAACAAGCAGCCTATCGGCTGAGATAGCTCCGCTGTTAGCAATGCACATTTCAATTAAAGAACTGAAGACATCATTAGAAAATGAACAATATGTATAGTATCAAAGCAATCGGACTTACAGTTTTTAACAAGAAGTCGAAAATATCACTTTTTACCAAAAATGACAAAAATATTCACCAAAATTAGAGAATTGAAGATATCATCACAAAATGAACAAATCTGAGACAGGTCCACATGTAGTACCTGTATATGTAATATCAAAGCAATTGGACCTGCGGTTTTTAACAAGAAGTCGAAAATATCACTTTTTACCAAAAATGACAAAAATATTCACCAAAATTAGAGAATTGAAGATATCAACATGAAATGAACAAACCTAAGAGAGGTCTACCCAAGGTACATATACACCAAGTATCAAAGCATTCAGGCTTGTAGTTTTCAAGAAGAAGTCGAAAAAGTAAAACATTGACACGGACGACGACGAACAATCACTCGTATGATAAGCTCCGCTCGACATAGTCGACAGCGAAGCTAAAAAAAGGATCAGCCCTACAGATGGCGCCAAGTCTCTGTGTTGTCAGTTTTACTGAGTGCATGCATGCATGCATACATGATACATGGCACCCCATGAGAAGCATACATTGTATCAACCAAATAAATCATCCGTCTTGACCATTGGCATGTAATGTAGTTCTATTATACAAAATAGAACACCCCCCTCAGCTTATATTTCTCCTTCTCTATTAAATATCTAGTCTCCATGGTATCAGAACTCAGAAAGGTGGACTGATACAACAGATGAATTACAAACCAAAACAATTCCCTAACTCAAGACACTTAGTTAATTATTACAGCCTCTAGTATGCTTATATGTGTGTATACAACACTACATCACTGTATTTGCCCTGTTACACATGGAGAAACCCATCTCTAATAGAAGTGCATATAAACCCAAAATTGTACACTGAATCATTAAAATACAGTACTAGTATTACCTTGAAGCGAGAGGGTCGTCACCTGCACACACGCGGGTATTGAGTCCCGAGCCAAGATAACACACGGCAAAAATAGCCAAATAGCAATGAACAATTAATATCAAGCCAAAATTTTGTTGCACAAATTGAGGTTCTTTTTGTAATTGGTAAATTGTTGATTTTTTTTTTTTTCTGATAAAAACATCTTTATGAAAACAGGCCGTGCACTCACCGAATAGAAACAGTGTTCATTGATGATGACACGACTCGAGAAACTCTCGTTATGCGCTTCAATTTTTAAAGTCCTCTCCCTCCTGTTAAGGGTATTCTTCTGAATAAAGTAAATGAACTCAACACCAACAATCTGTGAAATGAACAAAGCAAAAGATATTAGGGTAGGAAATATAAAACCAAAAATTAACATCAGTTTTCCCAAATAGATGATATATAAATATACGAATGCAGAACATTTTAAATTAATGTTAGGCTAATAAACGGAATGGCTAACTTCACTGCAAAAGTCAGAGAAAGATATTGCAGCTGACGTAGGAAAGAGGAAAGAATAAAGGCTTGCCAAGACCCATGCGCTGATTCATCCCTACAAAAATTTGTACGTGACTGCCTCGGTAGCTTTCAAAACAGTCATACATTCACTTCAGTTCTGACTAGTAAAGTTCCCTCTAAGCCTTATTTTGTAAAAAGTTTCTCTTTAAAAAAATTTATCAACTAGAAAAACATTTGTTGCAATTTTTTCCATTATATTCCCATTCAAGGTTGTTTTTGAGATAGACACGTTTCCCGGTGTCTAATTTGGTTGAGGGAATTAGTGTTGATTAATCTAATGCATTTTTAACAGTTTTGTCGATAAAATAGGAAAGTTCAAGCCCTGAAGGATCACGGTAACCTTGTGTGAAACTGATTGGAAACAGTTATATGGCTTTAGTTTCACTGAAACTGAAACCATACAAGCGAGTACTGCCTTCAGTATTCCTCATTTTAGTCAACTAACGCAAGGTTGGCTTGAAGGAAGCTGGGCAATGACCAATACCCCATGACTATCCAGTGATGCATGTATAAACAGAATGTATTTTGTTATCATACTTGCTTTCTTACAAATACTGAAAACACATTGGAATAGTCACATGCCATTTCAGTGAATTTTTGCCATGTTCAACTGTTCCAAAACTTTAATAACTTTCTATTTTGTGGTAAATATAATAAAAAAAACAATACTTCAATTGAATTTTTACTACCAGAAAGTACCAGGATGTGTGACCTTTTTGAGCAGGTCATGCGAAAGATGTATTGTATACAGCCAGACAGTTTCAAATTATATAACTTACCTTTTTAAGAAGATAGGGAGCTTCAACATTGAGGCGACATCTTCTTTCCACAATGTGCACAGCTCCGTCGTCACTTTCATACTCTGACAATATATCACTCCCAAGGAAAATGGGAATCATTTTACAAGTTGGAAAACGCCTCTGGTAAGCCTGTGAAGAGGAAATGAAAACAGTCCAATTAATATTTGTTGACTTCTTCCAAGTAGAGCAAAGATATCATGTACTTTTTTGATACATGTAGGAAAGTACAAATTTATATATTTTATTTCCTGACTGGGAAGAAATTTATATATTCAAATGATGGAAGTTGAAAGTGAAAAATACATACATTCTGTGTATCTTTATTACGATACAAATGGCAAATTTTATTTGTTCCAAAATAGGGGTTCCTCTCTAAGAGAAGTCAGAGAAGCATAATATGCAATTTATGCAATCCCTGATACAGTTTTTCGATCATTGCAATTTTACACGAACAATGTATACATATCCAATAATTTCCATCATATGTAACAATGGCTAGGCCAATAATCTAGCCACAATTTGTCAACTAGTTCACATTTTAAGAAATCACGCACCATTAAATCTATAAATTTGGGCAAGAAAGAAAATATTATTTCTAGCATCATTTCTACATTCTTGGTTTAAGTGTCAGTCAGCGGTAGAGTTAAGTCTTCTTGCTTTTCATAAAACAATTCCATATAGAATCAATAGTACTACAGTGTACATGTAGCTATCCTCATGAATTCTGATACATTCTAGAAGACATGGCACTTCAATTGTTGCTAGGACCAATCACAAGCAAGAACACAGAATGTTGCCAGGACCAATCACAAACAAGAACACAGAATGTTGCCAGGACTAATCACAAACAAGAACACAGAATGTTGTCAGGACCAATCACAAACAAAAACACACAATGTTGCCAGGACCAATCACAATCAAGAACACAGAATGTTGCCAGGACCAATCACAAACAAGAACACACAATGTTGCCAGGACTAATCAAAAACAAGAGTACTGGTACACAATAGTTCAGATTAACCTTTTAAGCACACCATTGTCAACTTTTGGCAGCAGTCACAAACAAAATGGTTGTGTATCAGCTACTCCCCATATCACCGTCCCTCAACACCATATGAAATGCTGATAAGAATTGACAAACCTTTTAATCAAAAACTAAAAGCAATTATCTGACTCTGTCATTATGGGCCAGAATGGTGATAACATTTAGTGACGAATTCACAAAATGTGAAAACATTTGCAATGAATTTTGAGTCGGAAAAATATCCGACAGTCTAAGGATTTTCCTCCTCACTCTAACCAGCTTTCTCCCCATGCTAACAAAAAAATGATTTGTCTTCTACAGACGTCCTGTTTTAGTTCATCTTCAAGAATGTATGACCCAACAAAGAATTAACAAAAAAAAACACATTAATACAATTTACTGATACAGTGAAGAAACAGGTTATAGAAAGTAATTAAAATGCACAGTATACAAGCTATGAATAATAAACAGGTGTACTGCTTATCTCTGATCATCGGCTAACGACAGGAAATTGGTTATTACTGAGGCATTAACGTTGTACTACACAGGATATAGAGCAGGTGGGTCCATATTAATGGAAGTTAAAGGGACAGTGGCTGGAACGTTGATTTTTGAAATTTTCAACATCCACGTGTACATTATACATATAAATTTAGAGTCGGGAATGTTGCAGAGATGAGAAACAAACTAACTGGATGGATTTAACCAACTATAAGTAATTGAAACCCTAAACAATTTCAAGGAATCCACATACATGGTACATGTATAAATAGCGAGAACTGATTGATCCAAAATGCGAAGATATAAAAATTCATTTAAAGATACTACTAGTATTCAGATAATTCTCATGACAATAAAATGATTATAAATACAAGGAAATAAACCCTCTGGCTTGCTTGAGGTACCCGATTGATATTCAAAGTACATTTAAAGTACACATAGTACAACATGTATGAGACAATAACATATGCATATTAATTGCCAGCATGTACAGTGCATGTACGTAGGTGTAACACCTGTCCATGAGCGCTTTCAGGCATGACATTCAGGTGACATGTGTTTGCTTCAGGGTTATGTGATGAAGTGTCACTAAGCACAAATATTACTGAAGCAACCTGAAATAATTATGTTGATTTGAATAAATAGCAACATATGGCTGGGAAGAATAAGTGATGACAAAATAATTGGGTCGAGGGGATTTGACATGAAGATATAATTTATGCACACTGCATATATTGTACATGTACATGTATTTGATGGCATAATTTGAATAATATTTGCATAATTGTTTCAGACAAAAATTGTGATGATTATACTGATTTTAAAACAGTCAATTACACAATGCACACCGTTAATCACTTGCAAAATGCTTTTTTTATCAAGCGTGATACAACTACGGCAAGTTTTCCATTTTCAGCAATTTATCAATCTGATTTAAAAAGTTGGCAATGGCACAGTGGAAATGGTAAAACAAAGCCTTGTGGCGGTACTGTCATGCTGTTTATATCCTGGGTAGAACATTGTGCCAACAGGACCACCTACACGTATATATTTTTTTTTCAAATTTTAACAATAATAACTTCAAATAGAATTTTTAAAAAAAATGACATAGAATCATATAATATAAATAATCCCATTATTTGCAATATGCATCTTAGTAGAAAGTGGCTAAAAATACTTGAGAACAAATGTTTGAAGTCTATTTAATATTCCCCATACCGACCACATCCGGCATTCTTTTCAACCAGTCATAATCGGGGATTTCTATTTTCAACTCGAGTCAAGTCTCAAGAGAAAATATGTCAAGCGCTGCAAGATGAATTATTCACATGATTTCACCGTTGAAGATAAAATACTATCGTCTGACCTTCCCCTTTCGTGTCACTATACTGAATTTGTTTACATCCAATTAGAGTCAGCAGAAGCGAGCAACTCTGATATATATTTCAGTTATTTAAAGAAGATCTAAAGAAAGCATGTGGTTTCTGGTTTTCACAATTTTTTTTTTACGATCCAATTTAGCCAGACAGTCAAATTACATTTATTGTTGCGTGATTGAATAATCACTACGGCTGTGCAGATACATTGCACAGTTGAACATTCAACATCCATTCGCTAAGGGACGGTGAATAATAAAGCATGCACACAGATAAAATAATTTATAATGTTTATTGCAATTTTTTTCGCACATGCAAACTTTCGTTAAGGGGTGGGAGTGGTTGTGTGGGTTTGAATGTTAAGCGAAACGAATATGTTTGCTATACGCACGTTTTAATTATCTACAGACACCCAAATGTGTATAAACACGAGGTACATTTGTACATGCAACAAATCCCCTTTTTCACATCTTGGCATCTCACAGAGCATTTACAATTTTAGTATGCCATATTCTATCCAATAGAAGTGCATATAAACATTGTATTTACTATTTTGACAGCTCTATCACAATGTACCAACGTAATCACATGCACTGCCACTTGTAAGAGCCAATACAGTATACTGGAAATATTTCGTAATCACATGCACTGCCACTTGTAAGAGCCAATACAGTATACTGTAAATATTTCGTAATCACATGCACTGCCACTTGTAAGAGCCAATACAGTATACTGTAAATATTTCGTAATCACATGCACTACCACTTGTAAGAGCCAATACAGTATACTGTAAATATTTATGGCTAACTTGCATGTACGAATTTTCAAGTTCTACAGTAAATAAAAGAATAATCGATAGTTGTATATGTGCATATATACTTACATTATTTATGTACAAGGACGAAAAATATGTTTGTATAATGCATTTTAGACGAGAATTTACTGTAACACCATTTATTTTCACTGGTATTTAATTTCACTATTTTGATGTCTTGAGCTTCACTTGGTTTTAAGTTCATTGGCAGGGAAACTGAGTTCTATTGTTATTTTACATGTTCACTCGGATTTCATTTAGCGAATTATTATTTTTTTTATTTTCAAAATAGCGAAACTAATAATTAATGTGTTTACAGTAGAATAGAACACAGCTTACGCCACTTATACAAGGCAGTGGATAGACATGATACAACTATCCTTCCAATATTCATAGGCTTGTGATGTTTTTTTGTGGTAGATACATCGCTAGTCAACCTATTATTTACAAAGCTGCAACAGTACTCTAGGCTAATGCTTTTCTTTTACAAAAATGAGAACGCGGCTCACAAATTTAAGTGTGACAAATATTCACTGTTTCTATGACAACATGTAGAATTTTAAAGCTAGCATTCAATTACATGTGAAGTGTCATTTTTTGTGTGAAACTGAAATACAGTTAACAACAGAAGTAAAATGTCTCATCTAACAACTTACATATGCATAAACATGATGATTTATAAGATTTATGCATATGTGATCAATAAGAAGCATGTACATGTAGTAAAAATGAAATAGCTCCGTAAATATTTATATTTATATATTTATATATATATATATATATATATATATATATATATATATATATATATATATATATATATATATATATATTAAAATTTACGCCATGTCTTTGTTCAATTTTAGCAATTTCTTTGCTTACTGACAGTACATTCAATTTTGCTTCTGTAAGTTCATATTACCGGGTATCGTAAATACTTTTTTTAGCCAGACATCACTGTGTGATAAAGCTACGAGTACTTTAAAATACTTTATTTTCGCTGAAGGAATGATTCAGAAAATACCCAAAATGTCTTTTCAGCGGAAATTAATTCCAGCTAAAATAAAGTATTCTACAGTAATTTTTGTTTACGCATTTAACCAAGTTTTTCAGCAACAAAAATTTTTGTATGAATATGATAAATTTTCTGAATGTCACACAGTGGTGAAAGATAAGATGCCAAATCTCTATAATTATAATTGTCTCCATCGGGAGCTAGTCATTTGTCAGAGAACTCTTCATAAGATTGCCGCACAAGAAAGCAATTTTTATGTCTCCAGAGGAAAAAAAAAATCTCGCACAAAACATTTCCTGAATTTTCAACACAGTACCATGAAGGATTGCCAATCATAATTTGATTGAAAAAAATATACATCAGTGTGCAGGACAACAGATAAATAAAAGGCTTATAATA